GGGGGGGGGGGGGGGGGGGGGGCGGTACATTCGTGCGATTCGAGCTGCGCGCGGCAAAGTGCGCGGCGAAATTCGCGGCGATTCGAACGACTCCGGCGCCTACTATTGGGGCACAAACTTGGAGAAGAATAGTTAAATAGGGTCAGCTGATTCTGCTAATCTACTCGACTTCAAATTTGGGTCTCAATAATAGGCGTTAAAGTCGTCAGAACCGCTATGAATTTCGCCGCGCATTTTGCCGCGCGCAGCTCGAATCGCACGAATGTACACACACCCATAAGAGGGCTGTAGAATTGCAAATGGAAAGTCACAATTTTTCACGGAAAGGATCCACAAACTCTCTAAATTATAATTTTGGATGATAAGGCAGAAGCCCACATAAGTGGCGATTCTCACCTGATAGATATATTCTGCTGTTTGGCCGCTCGAGATTCTGAGCAGCTATTTCTGTAAGTTCGGAGAGGTTTGTTGGGAATGCGTGACCGCACCTGAAGAAATGTGTTCAGCCTATATTTTCATTTCGAGAGCACATCCATGCCCAAAACTGAGTGATACCCAAGGAATCGTAATTGGATAAATCATCGGATACAATCACGTGGGAATCACCGATCGACCGCCTAGATACTTACGTCTTATAAACTTGATCGAGAGGTTGTGGTGTTTTCATCGCTGCTGTCATGATCAAAGATGACAATAAGTTACCGAATACCTGCCCGCTGTGCACTATCATGAAGAAGTAGCCAAAGAATCTGAATAGCAGAATGTTTGTAGATGCTGTGAAATTCAAAAGAGCCAGTAGATGAAGTTGGTCCGTGATTTTGTTATCACTCAATGTATTCAAGGATTGACGTGACGAAGGTTGCCTTTTATCTTTTTGATTTACTCCAATTCTTATACGGACAGTATTAGGTTTAAGGATGAGCAAGGAATAATGGCAGGAAAACTAGTGGTCGGCACGGAATAAACTGGCATTTTCCGAGCGGCGAGTGAAGTCGATGAATTAATGGTGGAGTCAGAAAAGAAGCCGGGTCGTCTCGCCTTGTGGTGATAGCTACCCTCAAGCTCGCGAGATCTTTGTACATGACCGTCTTTGGGCAGGACCCCAGAACACACCCTACCGCTCCCTCCCTACGAAGCCCGAAGAATAAGAGCAGTGCTTTTCGGTAACTTATATGTGGCAGTGTAATAAGCTGAAAGTTAATGACGGAGTGAAGGGGGCCTCTCACGTACTCACTGAATTTTCACAATTTAAACACAGCGCAGATCGAATTGTTTCCAATGTTATATAATAGCTTTCTCAAAAAATATGTAGGTGTCTACATCTGTCCCATTCAGACCACTGCCGATCACGAGCGCAACACAACGTGAAACTATGCGAAGTATCTCCTCATCACTTCTGCCCCATAATCCTGTATCAGCCGTCTGCGAACAAGGACAATCATGGAGGAAGAAGCAAGCAGTCAAAAATGAATCGGACGCGAAAGTTCAAGAGGCTCAAAAAAGTTGAAATCTCGGAAATTTCCTGGTTGTAATAAAGCACGGAAATTCCGTCACGGTATAGGCTCTGGGGAAAGTGGGTAACGGTGTATTAATCATGCTCTCCTTTGTGGTTAATCTACTACCATTATTTCGGATGTGGTTGTTGGAAACATAAATCCGTCGTAATCACAGTTCAGTAAATTATATTGCGTATGGCATCTTCGTAGCGAAGAACACATTTGCATTCTCTCCTTATTCCCTATGCACAACATTACCAGTTGTAGGTCTGGAATGGCTCGAAACCTCGCCACGTAAAAGGTTCCTTGATATGGCTCCGTTAAGGAGACCCACATGAGCAGGGAGGTAAACTAGAAAAGTACCTCAGGGTAAGCCAACGCAGTCCAGATTTGCTAGGCCCACTAAGTCTCGCAGCTGAAGGGAGGAACTAGCGAGCGGAAAGTCAACGATTTCTGGTCACGTTGTATCGCCCACGTTCCCTAGGCAGGCCACCATTGTAACGGAGCCAAAGTAGGCGATGTAGCCGAGGCGACGACAGTTGGTGAGGGAAGTTGATTGAATTTACTCACCGAACGATGACCGTGTTCTGACTTTCAATATTTACACGGGCATAACGAATGCCCATTTCTGTAATATAGGCGCACTTAGCTCCCCATAAGCAGGAACCTGTAAATGAAGTCGCCGATAGAAAAGTGATATTTTGATTTGAATTTGTACCTGCTATGCCCGCCAGGATAGAGGCTGGAATAAGTGATGAGTAGCTGAAAAAAAGAATGATAAATGCTAAAGAAATATTATTGGAATGCAAATGATGTAAGTGTAAGGATAACATGAAAACATTCGGGTCACATAGAGGAGCTGCAAAGAATGAAATTGGAGGATATCAAAAGGACCAATATAAACCGCTAGAACATAACATCAGCGTTTCCTAGTTACTTCATTGAATAATATTCATCAGCCCAAACCGTGGAACACCCCTACTTAGAACTTTGTCTGAAGAGCAAGTTTCTAGAAGACCCATGTATACAGATAACGCTGCTTCACGTATGTTTGTATTATAATGGATGATTTGTCATTTATTCGAAATTATATGCATAACCGCTTTAAATAGCTTGATCTGTTAATTCGTACCACATAATGTACCCAGAGAATGGTAAGCGCTGTCCAGTGGAAGAAATTGTATGAGCTGTGTGAATTTCCCAGGTATCACCCATGTTATTAAGCGGAATTTATGAGGAACAGAGAGGAACATTTCGAGGACTTTAGACCTTACCATGCATATCATTGAGCACAGCGAAGTTTATATAAGAGAAGCAGCATCTTAACAGCACGCAGGCATCAGCACAGAAGCATTGGAAAAGGTGGAAAAAGAAACAAGCAGATTGAAGACAAATCTGCCTTTTCATTGATTTGCCATTGTCATAATCCTAACCAGTAGGAATTTTCTGAGTGATGCGATGAAAATTTTTCCTGCTGTATCCCCTAGTACGACGAACTTATTCCCCAAGTATGCCTACACCAACATCCCTTTCTTATGCGAAAAAAGTGCATCATAATTAACATGAATGTGCCTTTACCTTCTTGATCTGTTCATTCCTTGCCTCTAAGGAAAAAGTAAGGAGAATCCTATAACATTTAGCTTACCTTGGACGGATATTTACAGCCATATAGAACACGTGGCTGCTCGTAGCGACAATTAACGTGAGCTTACAACCAAGTCGATTGATCATGTAAGTTGGAACAAACAGCGATGAAATGGCCAATGACAAATAGAGGACACTGAAATTATGCCTATGTTCTTGCTGACCGTTTAGTGTAGAGCTATTTTATTTAGCTGCTTGGAGAGGATGTGTGGCACAATCAGGTAAAGCTATGAACCTGCTGTAGGAGTGAACTTTCTTCATCTTTCTCTGGGTCTGGGTCATATTTATTCTCCTTTTTTTTCTTCATGCTTTCCATAATTATTTAATCTTTGTTCAAGCTCGGAAGGGTGCGGTAATAGCTACCCTTATAGTGTAGTTAGCAAATTTCAAAAGGCTAGCGTTACACTTCTGGAAGCGAAGTTGCGGTATCCTCGAGATGCTTAACCAAGTGTTAGTTTGCGCTACCTTGCGAATATGATTGGGGACTAAAACTAGTGTTGTGATTATATGAATTCATTTCCAGTCTCCATGAAAACTTTCTGGTGGCCTGCCTCGTCGTGGAGTGTCTTCGAGACTCCATTAATTAACGGAGTCAACGTTCAACAAATAAAATAGTAAGTGCGGATATTACCGCTACGAAAACACAGAGTAATAATAAATATGTCATTGTCCAATGACACCCAACCTACGTCTCCTCCTCGTTCGAGGTAGTCTGCGGACCACGCTTTGTGCTGGCCCGCAGACTTGGACGACGAACTCAGCTTCGCAATTTTCAGCTAACGCTTAGCCATTTCACTTAACTGAGAATAAGATCAGGTTGTCTCCAACCTTGGGCAGTCGACGTTAATATTAGGTTGGCAAGGGAGTACTTGCACAAAAAAAATGTAGCGTTAATAATTTTGCATAAACAGTGTGGAGGCGATAGCAAGGGTGATGAAATTTTAGGACATTTCTTGGATAATCAACACAAGTGCCCAGAAGGGCCTGCTCGTGGGCTTTCGCAACATAACCATCAATGATGGGACGGTAACAGATCGCACCATGACTTTCTACGATGCACACCACGGGAAACAAGCGAGTGCAGCTGTGGAAATTATCAATAACCTATTCGCTGGAAGCACTCATCACCGATCAACGTCAACATTAGGTTGAACCTTTTCTTTGCAGGAGATATTGACCTTCGACGTAACACAGGAATCGCCTCACAGTTGTGTGGGGCTTGAAGGAAACCATAAACTATGAGTTGCTCAGCGCAGACTAGAGAGTCGCAGCTCTCGATTACCTCTATGTTCCCGGCATTTGGTCAAGGCCGTCAGGAAAGTGGTCCAAAACCATGACTCAGGCACCTACAACGGCTACGCATGTCGAAATTTCACTTAAGATACCCATCAAAATCTCATGGGTCTTAATTGCTTCCAGGTTGTTCATCAGTCGTACTCTCTGAACGTTACCTTTTCTGAACATCGCATAGTACGCCTTCTCAAGCATCACCTTGTTGGAAAAAAATTCGTGACTTTTCATTGCCTGAAAGAAGCAGTTAACGGCTTCTTTGAGTCGCAGTTTCATGACTTCTGAACAATGACATGTTCAGAGGATAAGAGGAGGTTCTTTAGGACTTTCGGATTCTTCTGTACTGCACTTGAGCACAACCGAACGATTTTGCACAATTTTTTAGATAAAAAAATGATGAGAAATCGTTGCGCTAGCTTGCCTTAATAACACGGTATTCAGAACCTCGAAGTGACTCGATAACGCATGCGGTCTTAGAGCCGATCTGAAGGGCTACCCCTCATTGTATATCTCTTTACTTCTAGCCGATTTGATCGCCCGGTTTCTACTCAAGGGAAGGAAACTTTCTAAATCATTTAAAGTTGTTCAAAAAGCTTTCACCACAGTGAACTTCACTAAGCTGGTGCTCGTCAGAAATAAAGTAAATGACAATAAAGCCCATTAATCGAATGGCAAACGAAAAAATAGACCGTTCCCGGCTTAGCCTTTTGAATATGTGGTTTTTTACAATCAGGTTAACTACTTACGCCAGGCTGTCCGCGCCAAGTTCGTTGTTCACTGAAGTTTGAAGGTTCGAGAGGCCGTTGAAAGCTGAGAAAAGGAACAGAAACGCCACCGATATGATGAGGAGATTGGCCTTGAACAGCGAAGATTCACGACCAAGTGTATGTAGAGAGGGAATTTTCGAAATCGTTTGAGGTTGGTCAAAAACCTAGTTAGTAAGCGATTTTTTTGTAAAGTTCAAATAGGGGGAGCCCTCCTTTTCTTCACAAATGTTCATCGAAATTAGCTTTGACAGAGAAAATGAGAAAATGAGATGACAACCGCGATATAGCCAACCTTAATCTTCTGCATTACTTTGGCAACTTTAATCTTCTCGTTACCACTCAGCATAGCACGCTTCTTCTTCCGAATAATCTTCGCGAGGAAATCTTGGCTAAACTTAACGAGTGTAAGTGGAACGAGTGTAAGTGATTTGCCGTCGAAATTCTATCATATTTAACAGCTAATTATTGCCAACAGCTAACTTGTACAGGTATGCGGCGCTTTCTGGCATGTCGTCATGATCCACACTGGTCATCAGATGTTGCATAGTGACCAGGTGTTGTCGACGAGCGAATCGTCGGCGACTGCCATGAACAGGGCAGAAAGGATCATATTCCGGAAGGCGGGCTACCTGGAAAACTAGTATTACTCAATTGTTTCCTCTGTGTCAGGAGAAATATGTATTAATTGTATTCACTCGACATTCTGTTCACCTTGGAAATTATACTCTGATCGTCTATTCCCCTACTTTTCTTTTCAAAAGCCAGCCCGAATATCATATGAGGCAAGAAGCAATGTTATAAACCGATAAACACCTAAACAACACAGGCTCAATATTTACTGTGTACCTCACTAGCTGCTTCCCGCTGCTGCTGCTCTTCGTCACTGAATGAAGCGCCTCGAAATAGGTAAGCACTGAAATTTGAATCAATCTGAATGTACATTCGTCTGAGGAGTGCATTCACTTCAAGAGTTCAACCCAATTAAGATTGACTGGAAGCTACTCCGCAAGAGCGATGAAGAGCATTCGTTATATGATTTCCATTTGCACTGATAAGCAATGCTCCCACCATCAATGGCATGTGCACTCGCGTTGAAGCGTATACCTCGCACAAGAGGCATGACACGATCTTATGAAACTGACCATCCGAATAGGTAAACGAAAAAATGAATACCTCACGGGCGAGAGGGGGACTACATGGCTTCAAGGGTGATCTATTTGGTCACTTGTGAGGCCTGCGGGGACGAATACATAGGTGAGACCGGGCGGCCTTTAGTATGTAGGATCAAGGAACACCTAGCTGGTCTGAAGAATTCAAGGCCTGAAACCCCCCTCGGAGACCATCGTAGGAATCGCCACGGAGGGGTAGAGTTTGAAGTCTCAGTCAGGATTTTGATGCGGGAGCCCACGACCTCCGCGCGCAAAACTATGGGAGCGTTTCGGATCCGCGCAAAAGACCCCAAAATTAACCGGAAAGACGAATGCCTGGCCATAACAAGTGAACTCGCCCCGTTCATCGACCTGTGTGGGCTACAATTGCCACCGGCTTAAAGTCGGGGATCAGGTCACCCGGGGCCCACCCACTGCGAAAATTTTTAAATAGGCAGTTTGAAAGGTGGTCTACATGTCGTCTCCTCTATTTCTAAGGTGGGTTCCCTTGTTGTGGTTTACGAGACCTGTCCAGATATCTGTAGGTTTACTTGGGCTAACTGAAGTCTGAAATGGTGCATGAGTTGGATGAATCTCAATTTCTTTTTGGCTTCCAGGTCCTGACGAAGGCGGTAACGCCGAAACGTTGACTGAATAAAGTGCTGTACCATCTTGGCTGAGGCTATACCACACACCATCATACCGAACTCACACGATGCCAAGATTCATAGAAAGTCTTTCATGGTCAAACGTATTCAGTTTTTCAACTTTTACAAGACGGTTACACTTGAAAGTTTTACTTTGGTTTTATTCATCGCCTTATCATTCTGGAACAATTAACACTTCAAACTTGAGAGTATGCCTCAAAATCAACTATTTACAGAGGTAGGGCATCACATGATTTCTGGTACCATATTGTAGATCTTGAAGATCTGATTTTGAGTTCATTAGTATATTTTTAAATTAAAAACACTTTAATTTGAACTCACGCTCATGGCAAGTAAAAACAAACAAATCGCGAGTTTGAAAAAAAAAACAAAAAATCAAAAAACTGCAGACAAGAAACAAAGAAAAGGGGAAAGTACCATTTTTCTTGCCGTGATTCCGTCGATGGTAGTAAAATCTTCCCAAGGTCACGGAACGAAAAGGGCTTCGGCTCTTGGAAGAACTCTTTCGGCCTAAAAGGACTGATTTATTTCACAGCACTACGATGGAGAGTGATGCTCTGAAAGTACTCAGCTTATGGAGATTCAGACCCTGACCCCTTGGTAGATACTGTTACGCCGTGCTTATCACTGTTTGCCCTGTTCAGTCGAAAAGGCCTATCAATTTTAGGAATAGGCAAAGCAATAGGAGTTTNCATTAGTATATTTTTAAATTAAAAACACTTTAATTTGAACTCACGCTCATGGCAAGTAAAAACAAACAAATCGCGAGTTTGAAAAAAAAAACAAAAAATCAAAAAACTGCAGACAAGAAACAAAGAAAAGGGGAAAGTACCATTTTTCTTGCCGTGATTCCGTCGATGGTAGTAAAATCTTCCCAAGGTCACGGAACGAAAAGGGCTTCGGCTCTTGGAAGAACTCTTTTGGCCTAAAAGGACTGATTTATTTCACAGCACTACGATGGAGAGTGATGCTCTGAAAGTACTCATCTTATGTACATATGAAGCTAACATGGACAATCACAAAAACGGTAATTCACTGAGATTCAGACCCTGACCCCTTGGTAGATACTGTTACGCCGTGCTTATCACTGTTTGCCCTGTTCAGTCGAAAAGGCCTATCAATTTTAGGAAATAGGCAAAGCAATAGGAGTTTAATAAGAATACTCCAGAAGGGTGACATCATTCATCGGTGTCAGATACCTTCCTATCACTTATAATTCACAACTTTTACCCAATCGAATTTTGAAGCGGTCGAGATTAGAACATAAATTTGGGCAAGAATCGAAATAAGAATTTGGGCAAGAACCCTACTATAGAACATGAAACTTTTGATAGGCTGTTCCTTTGAGATGTTTTCCTCACGCGACTCCCTGTCCTGGCTGGGCCAGTGCTTGAGATTACTCACACATTTCCCACATACCTCTTTTTTTAAGTCGAAATTTCCCTCTTATGCCAAGATTTCCCTCTTATTGTTGAGGCTTTTCTAGAGATCATTAGGACTTCTGATCCGGCAGTCAGGTGATACAATCTAAAGCCAAGCAAGAGCTCGTATTGAGACTGTTCTATTTTACTCAACAGCCCTCCTTATCTTACCTTTAAGTAGTCTGAGCATCTCCCAAACCAAATGCTAAATTGCTAAAAAGTTCATGACATTGTTAGACACTAATGAGCTTAATCTTACACGTAACCAGCACCAGAATTCGGAAGGAATGGTAATAATCAATAGCCTGTGATTGGTATTAGGTTGATGCATAATTATTGCGGATTTTTTCGAACAAATTTTACTTAAAGAAACTGTAGAAATACTAAGCAAAGACATATTCAAATAATTACTCCGAAACTTATTCACCTTCTACGTCAAGCACTGCTTTCCATTGGTTAGTTAGTCGGATCCCAAAAGCGAAGAAATTTTGATCCTTAAGGGCGATCCACGCCTTGACATCGGCCATTAGGTCAACCAAATCGGCGTGACTTCTGTTCTCTAGCCATTTTTTCGATGAACGGTTGACGAGATAATCCATAAAAGTTTCTGCTGGTGAGAATGGCAGATTTAGGGGCAGTTCCCATTTCTTGGTTGGCTCTGTCTGATTGATCGATCGCCGAAAAGTTACTGAGATCGCGGAATGACTGTGCCAACTTCCAATTTTTCTCGAAGTAGTTAAGCCAAATTTCGCGGATATGCGGATGGTTTTTTGAGTATCTTCTTGTAGAGGAAATCAAGTAGATCATTTTTGGAAAAAACCCGAACTCAATATTCAAATCCTATCGAGAGAAAAAAGGCCGCGAAAAAATCCGCAATAATTATGCACCAACCTAATAGAATTGCAACTTCTGCTTCAGTACCCACAACCAGTCAAGTAGGCAGAATTGGTCCTGTTCACATAGCCTCTCGACAAGTAAAAGAATTATTTCCTTTAACCATTCTACGTTTAGCAACTCAAAGGTCCTATCTTGGGTCTCGCAAAGAGAATATCGTTCAAATTAGTGCTGATCTGCACAATAAGATTCTCTTACTGCTTTATGCCCTTTCTCAATAGCAGTCTATGATTTTCAACGACGCTGCTCAGCACTCCAGATTGAAAAGTCTGATTTTCATGTTTTCCTCCCCTAGAAGCCAAATAGAAATTCGAGCCCGGGCCCGCCGTTTGACAAGCAGGGCCTATAGGCTACGTATGCAGCGAGTTTGAAAGATAGGGTCGTTTTGAAAGACAGCGCAGTGTAATCTCTAGCCAAGCAGGCATTACCAACAGGAATCGCAGCACATTCGAAAAAGAAGTTGAACTAAGCTTGAACTTCAGCCATGCAACCTATGGAAAAAGGCTGTTCACTTCACAACGCACCTCTTACAGCATGTTTCTAATGGAATAAGGTCGATTTCAGGGTTTTTATAGAGTGGCACCGCCTGTTCACGTTTCTTAGAGATTGCGCCGAATTTCTGCAGCACATGTATCGATGCTTTTCGGATGGATTCGAGAGCAGGTGACCTGAATGATTTTGACTGAGCTTAAAAACTTCTCAAATCAGAAAAAGTTAAGTAAAAGAAATAAAACAAAAGTATGAAACTAATCAAGTCTTCGTAACCAAACTCGGGTCTATGTAACAGTTTTAGATTGATGGAAGTTACCGATGACTTGACTCATTCGATTCTATTATAAATAGTTGTGCTGAACCGATACGGTCCTACAAGTCATGAAACACTCATACAAGCGTTATTTGGTATTTTGTGTTAGAAAGGAATCTAGAGGGGAGGTGGTATAGTAGCAAGTGACGCACTATCCCATACGTATGGTCTAAAAAAAAATCTGGAAATCTAATCCTGGATCGGATCTGCATCCATCTTTGTTCCCAACAAACCATCCCTTCGGCGTCGGTTTGTTGGGAACAAACTCAGGTGGGAGGATAAAAAGCACTGTATTTCAAATCGTCAGGGTAGAGGAAGTCATTGTATCGGCTAAACTAATACGCACTCAATCCCTCACGACTATCCTGGGTTGAAGTCGTATGCGGACGCGCTTTCCAGAACGGTATTTATAAACGCCCATCCATTGGGTTACTGCTAAGATTGCACTAACATGTAAAGAAAAAACAGTAAAGTGAGCCTTAGCGAAGCCTTCAGAGCAAACAACAAGTGGTTTCGCACTGTAGTTAAGTACGGGCCCGAATGAGCCGCCGATCTCGACGGGTTCCTATCCCACCTGAAGCCGCGCTTTTTTCGCTGATACCCCTCCGCCGTGTTCGAGAACTCCCACCTATTCTTAAGGGCCTCTGGTACAAGTTAAGACGATTTTGCAAGAAATACGTCATGTTCGGACTATTGAATACCCATATAGCTAGTGAGCCGAGATTCTGTGGGAAGAAGCCTAAGATTTGGCCTGAGATAAGCTGACTTTGCGCGGCTCCTCATATTAGTGACCTCCTTGTATAAGTGTCATGTACCCTATCTACAAATCATCGAGCAGCGTTGGCAAAAGACGTATCAAAATATAGAAAGGCGTTCGAATATGAAGAAAACAAAATCAAAGTTGTCAAAAACTTTCCCCACTTGCTTCGTCGCTTCCGATCCGCTCGTTGTCGCTCGGCTTCTTCGGCGATATCTTCTTTAGCCAAACCAAGAGCTTGCAGTTCTGCCTCGTCTATTTTGATCATTTGCTGAAGAGGCATAGGTTAAGGGTTGTACCCCCCGTCAAGATATTAGGTCATCCAGAAATGTGGATCGAGCTAATTTTCTTTGGCAAAAAATTATAAGCGTCTCAATTTTGTTTTTAACAGTTTTGAAGTACAAATATAACGGCACAATCACATACAAAACTTTTTACGATTTTTCCGAAGAGACTTTGAATGGAGTGATCTAAATCTCAAGGAAATAGGTTGAAGAAAGTGGGAAACTCGGAGGAGCTTTGCTGTGACATATTGTGGCGCTTATGAACGACACGATATGAGGATTGAAAAAAGTGCGTCGTATGAATGTTGTAAGAACCAGGTGACTCGAGCTATTTCATTCTGTCGTCTTGCCCCCCTACTAAACAAGTCCTTCCCAAATGCCGTACCTGTGACACTTGTGACTCCATGAATTCGGCTCGTGATCCTCGAGATGAAGATGACCTTAATTCAGACGGCGGATCGGCAATCATATCCCAAGCATTAGTGTCAGTCATTTCTGAAACTAAAGAGCAACTTCGAACTGTTCACTTCATAGTAACTTTCATTTTCATATTTTTGCAGCGACTCTTTCCGTGCAATGAGGAGCCAGCCTACTCTAAAACAGAAGATTCTCAGCAAAGGGAGCCAAAAAATATTGTAATGTCTTGAGCAACCTCAGTAAGACTTTTTTGGAAACCTCGCGGCGCTGAGTAGATAGGGTGGTATCGGTGGCACTACAGATCACGCTCCAATCACCCATTATCTTCTCTTTGAAGTTCATCAATACGAGAGCATGGCATGCCGCTCTATGTAGCCTTCTAGCTCTTCCTCGTCATACATCCGTTGAGAACCATTACAGTGGGATAAAATAAGACAATCTTTGAAAACTGCGATACCTAGATGTTGAATTTTAATCGAGTGTATCAATGGAACCCGTGAGAAACCCGTGAGTGATTTTGTGAGAGACTCGTGGATGGTGATGGGAATGAAAGAATTGCGCAGGAACCCCGTAGTTGAGCTGGCAGGGAGAGCAATTCAGCTGATGGACCAATTTTATAAACTATGCGTTAGAATACTGCTAGAGAACCCCACCGAGTGAAGCTTATCGCGGGAAAAAGAAAAAGAAACGTCGTCTTTATACTGACTAAGGTTGGCATTCTCGAAAGCTTCGTTCTAATCGTCTGCTCCGTCAGTGAGAACTGCACGAACTAAAAACACGAATCTTCCACTTCAGTTTTTGATCAGTCTTTTTCCAGCACAACAAAACATGTGGAAGGTAGTTCTGGGCGCTCTCACCCCCTTATAGTCGTCTTAATTTGTTTATTCATTTATTTATTTATTGAAGACGTTGCGTAAGGCAAACGTGGGAAAATTGCTATCGCTAACAACAAAACGTTACCTAATTATACGATAAGAGCTTTTTCTTAGCTTGGAGTTTGAAAAGTACAAACATGGAAGTGGTGAACATTTAATTTTAGAGATATAAAAATAGTACCAGCTCGGCAAGTAAAGCTGTAACGTCTAATGTTGGTTCTCGGCGTTGCATATGAAATTTTCACTTGTCCACCTCTGGTTCTAGATTCCAACTTTACATAGAATTAGGATACATCGATTCTAGCAATACCAGTCAGCAACTTGAACACCATACATATATCATAAACCTTCCTACGAGACCGTAAACAGTGCAACTGTAAACTATTATTCCTTGAATTTGGTCGAGGCACTTTACCATAAGTGGCATCACCAGATCTAACAACCCGCTTTCAAGTGAAATTACCTTGGATTTTCTCAATCAACTGAATATCCTTCATCTTATACTATCAGAAAAAAGACGTTCCACATTCAACTACGGGACGTATATACGTTTTGTAAGCTCTCAGTAAAATATCCTTATCACTAATCGCTAAACCTTTAAAGACTTGGTATGTTCGGAAGATAGCCTTTTTAAATATAGCCGTATAGCGATTCGAGAAACTAAGCTTCTTGTCATAGTGGAATCCCAGGTCTTTAACTGAAGAGACCTCAGTAAGGACATGATCACCAAAACGATAGGTATTTGTAATGCTAATGAAAGAAATTCTCGTGTAAACAGTTTCCTCCGGTGCAACAAGCAAATTCCAGTCACACGACCAATCAAAAATACAGTCCGAAGCCTTCTGAATCCTTTCTGTATCATCACTGCCTTCCAGCTTCCTATAAACCTTGATATCATCTGCAAATTGCTTGCAAACAACCCCACATCCTTCTAGTAATTCTGGGAGCTCCTGAGTATATATAGCAAAACGAATAGGTGAACTAATAATAATAGTGCAAGACCCTTTGGTTTCCCGAAACCATCAGAGGTAGTTCCCTTCCACAATATGACACCGGCCGACCTCCAAATAGCGGTCATAAACTGAGCTGAGACTACAAGTTAGTAACTAGCATACCGGACAACCCAGCACATTAGTCAATTTAATCGCTGAAACCTTGACGAAGTGATACAGATAAGTGGATGATGAGCATTCCCTAAGTGCAACGGAATGCACTAAAAAAGAGTATTATCTCATAAACCAGAGAACTGAAAGGCCAGCAAAGATCGAGAATGGTTCCCAGATGCTCGCTATAGTGCACGCTATCCAGGAGAAACAGCTGCAGCAACGTGCAATGCGGGATGGCTTGCCGCCGCTGAGAGCTGCTTCGACTATTTCGTTGTAATTTTGCATGAAATCTGCTGTTCGCACCGAGACGATAAGTCATCGGTTAAATGAAAAGCACTTCGAATTATGAATAAGCTCTTGAGACAGGATTTTGAAGGCTTTCGTTTTCTTTCAGAAATGAGGATGGACGCGTCATGCATGTATCCCCAAGAAGGAAGCCTCCAATGACCAAAACTCTCACAGACCACTGGCTCTAACACAGTTTATGAGCTGTAATGAAAGTCTTCTCTCGGAATAATCAAACACTACCTTCTTCCCTGCGCTGCGCTTTTTTAGCCTGTTTATAGCGTTGAACAAAGAGT